ATGTGTGTGTGTGTGTGTGTGTGTGTGTGTGTGTGTGTGTGTGTGTGTGTATTTTTTCAGCAAACAAGGACAGAGCAGTCCTGCCTGTCTGGCACAGAGAGCATTTATATATGTGCAGGAGGTTTCTGTGTGCCACCTCACAAATGGGTAATAAACGAAATTAAGAGTGATTTGAAGATTAAAACAAAAACCACCTGCACATTCTCCAACAGCGACCCACAGATACTTTCCTACACTTATTTCTTTGTGGTAAAACCCAATGAACAACTTTTCTTAGTATCCTTTTAAACGCTGTCTTCTAAAATGTAAAGAGAAGCGACTTAGTGTCTTCTGCTGCCTCAGAATAAAGTTCTTCTGCTTTATTTCCAATCCTAGTTAAAAAAAAAAGTGCAGGAAGGTCAAAATCTATTCCAAATAGAAATATCATTTCTTACAAATACTACTATTTTTTTGGCACGCTGCTCTTTGCGTTCAAAAATTGTCATCTGCTCAGAGTTAACCATTTAATTTTTTTATTGTGATAACTGCATCTGTTGAGATGCAAGAAAATCTCAAATGAAGAATGAAATTAATTTCTGAGTATATGTTTGGCCTTTTATGAGAGCAGCAATTTCATCTATGAAAGCCCAGCCGAGAGAAGCGGGCAGAGAAGCGGGCACTCCGGAAGGGCATTCGCCCTAAACAAGTACATTTTCAGCTCCAACCTTCAAAGGTAACATTTTCAGCTAGATGGCCTCCTGGTCGAATGTATAATTTGCCTCTTTCATTCTTAGCTTAGTTGAAATATAGAGGACCGAATGTCCACCAGGCCAAAGTATAAACTCGCCATTTATCTATTAAAGTCATATTTAATGAAAATGAAGAGAAATTATTACTCAACTCTCTCTTTCTCTCATTACAATTCCTTAAGAACTTTGCCGGCCACATTATCTCGTAGACATCATGATCAAATGTTATTGTTTGCTTTATTATCTCAGTTGGATGGTTGGCTAGTCTAGGATGAAATAGGTTGAAGGCAATCCTCTCAGCCTAGAAGTCTGAATGAGGTTCCCATTCAAATGATCCTGATTGTTTGGGGGTGGGGCGGGGTGATTAGTAAACCAACTGAGCTTACACTGCATAGTAAGCGTCTGGATGCAGCACATTTACATCTAACAAGAGACCCCAGAAAACGTGTGTGTGTTTCTTAAACCTTATGTTGCGAACAAAAGGCTATCTCAGCCACAGACAATCAGCACGGCACTGCTCCCTGGGATGCGAGCCACACACTCAACTGCACATTTCATTCTTCCTCAGCTCCTAGCACCACAAAGCCCCGACTCTCTTCCTTCTCCTGGGTCCCCAGATTGCTCCATAGCGGGGGGCTGGGAAAGCTGAAGCCCCAGGTCTCTGCCTGCGCACCAGCAGCCCGCACCGAGGGCCCCCCGGGCGCTGCTCTCCCCTGCCCGAGCCGCCTGGGGGAGGTAGGGAGGGGAGCCGGGGAGCTCGAGAGGGGACCGCACACCTAGACACTTAGGGCTTTATTTATTCGCGGGGAGGCAGCTGCGGAGAAGTGGGTTCACGCTGCTCTGCCTCCCCAACTTGCCTCTCCCTAGCAGATAAAGTCATTTTCTGGCTGGTGCTGGGGGCCTCGGGGACCAGGGCGCGGGTGAGGTCCCGGCTCCGCGTCCCGTCCCGTGCGCGCCGCGGCGGGGGAGGGTTGGCCCGGTCGCAGCGGTGGCCGGAGGGCCTGGGAGGGGCCCTCGG